AATGGCTATCCCCAGGAAATACAGAAGTGCTTATTGAGGATCATGGATTTGAGGAACTTGGCGTTAGACAACTCATCCATACATTTATTGAAATGTAGCCACTGCACTCCAGCCTGGGCAACATAGTGAGACCCCATCTCATTGGTGGAGCATGTTTGTGGAGAAAGCAGAAGTTCAGGGTGATGTCCAGCAAGAGTGAGAAACGTGACTGCAGCTTATTTGCAGTACTTACAATTGTGAGACAGGGGAGTGGATTTTGGTAGAGAAGAGATCCAAGCATCTGAGCCTTGGGGGCTGATTCATTCCCTTATTCATTCAGAAGTTACTTAGTGAGTATGGTTCTTCTGTGTACCTTTTACAGATTATGTGGAATATAATTGTTTTTCTTTTTCGTGTGTGTGTGTGGAATATAATTGAAATTTGTTGCTCACCAAGTGTTTCAGTGTATTAGAGTGTGGGTTCTGGGGTCAGGGTGCCTGAGTTCAAATCCTGGCTTTGCTATGGTATGATGTAGGGCAAACTGCTTAATGTTTATATCCTAGCCTTAACCTGTGCCTTAATTTCTTCATCTGCAAAATAGAAATAATAACAGTAGTACCTAACCTCTTAAACTGGTCAAATGAATATGAATTAATTTATGTATTTAGAACACTTTGGGCACATAATTAGCTGGTTCACTAACATCATTTGAAGTTTTACTGTGAATACTATTTAAGCAGTGACTTTCCCAAGGCTTACCCAGTTTATTTGGAAAAATAGCCAGAGAAGTGTTTCCCTTAACCCAAAAGAGAAATACACAGATACGAATTTCAGTAGTTGCAGATCAGTGCTTTTTCTAAGTGCCTACTTAATGAGCAGATTATTGTCTTCCAGCAAATACTTCTACTTTGTAGAGAGGTATGGGAAACAGGACATAATAGGTATTAAGTGAGAAAGTGTGTGGTCCAATTTATAATTATAAATAAATAACTGTATTCAGTTAATTCATTTGATAAAGTGAGTAGTTTTGACTTTGGATTAGTTAGAAGGAAAACTTAAAATTGGCATATATCTAGTTTTGGCTTTTAAATTATACATAAACTTAATTAACTGGGACAAATGTGAACTAAGATACTGGGTAAAACTTGTGTGTACTCCTAAAATGACATTTGCATGGCTGGTAGTAAGCTGTGATTCTTGTCCTTGTAGGAATGAAATCACATAATTTAGGGAAAGTCTAAGGTAAAAGTAAGCTATTTCGTTTAGCATTTCTTGTGCCTACATTTTATTTTTCAAAAAATGTTGCTTGCTAGTCATTACTTGTGATATCCTTGTTGAGTCTACTGAGGTGTTCTTTTTTTTTTCCTTTATTACCTATGTCATAGATAAGTATGCCAGTCTGTTAATTCAGCATTAATACTGCAAAACTTAAAGAGTGGAAGGTTCTCAGTGCGGCTCTGTGGGCTCACGCTTGTAATCCCAGCACTTTTGGAGAGGCCGAGGGACAGGCGGATCACAAGGGTCAGGAGTTCAAGAACTAAACCTGGCCAAGTGTAACCTTCTCTCTACTAAAAATACAAAAATTAGGCAGGCATGGTGGACGCACAGCCTGTAACACCCAGCTACTGGCGAGGCTGAGGCAGAAACGAATCGCTTGAAGCCTTGGAGGTGGAGGTTGCAGTGATCACGAGATTTCAGCGCCACTGCGATCCAGCCTGGCTCACAGAGCGAGACTCTGTCTCAGAAAAACAAAAAAAAAAAAAGTGAAGGTTTCATAGCAAACAGCTGCTTGGTTCTTAACTATGTGTTTACTTTTTAGCGAAGTAGTATGGGCGGCGGGGGAGTTGTTAAATGTAGTATTTTACACATATTACCATCAGGGAAACCATTGAGTGGAGAAAGATCAAGGAATGAAGTATTTTGGGTCAAGAATCATTACATTGTATTAATACAGTTTTTCAGAGACATATTAATAAAAATAACAGCAATACAACATTATTGTAGAATATAATTGTTTTTCTTTTCTCGTGGTGGTGTGTGTGGAATATAATTGAAATTTGTTGGCTCACCAAGTGGTTTCAGTGTATTAGAGTGTGGGTTCTGGGGTAGGGTGCCTGAGTTCAAATCCTGGCTTTGCTATGGTATGATGTAGGGGCAAACTGCTTAATGTTATATCCTAGCCTTAACGCTGTGCCTTAATTTCTTCCATGTGTGCAAAATAAAATAATAATCAGTAGTACCTAAACCTCTTACAACTGGTCAAATGAATATGAAATTAATTTAATGTATTTTAGAACACTTTGAGGCACATAATTAGGCTGGTTCACAACCATCATTTGAAGTTTTACTGTTGAATACTATTTTTACTTAATAAGTATCGTATAAATACATATATGTACCCCATATCCTAGATGCTGGTATCGTAGTAGGGAACACGGTCTCCGCAGCACTATTGGAGGCCGAGGGTGGGAGAGATGGCGGGGCACTAGTAAGCGGACACCAGGGTGTCTACTTACAAAAATAAAAAGGATAGCCGGGCGCGGTGCTCACCGCCTGTAATCCTAGCACTTTGGGAGGCTGAGGCGACGTGGATCAGAGGTCAGGAGTTCGAGACCAGCGCTATCACATGGTAGGAAACCCATTGCTACTAAAATACGGAAA